GTAATGTAAATTTGTAACAGCAGCAATTGAACTAAAGTCTTGTCAACATACTCACTCATGCACTTATAAGTGAAATTTCACTATATCACAAAACAAAACACTGGGAGAAGTGAGGAAGAAAGAGAGGAAACGGGGAATTTGTCTCTCCAGTGTGGTAAATACAGCTTCTTTACAAATGCCAAAAATTTTGCTAAAATATACCTCTAAAAATAAAGTAACAATACAAGAGATTGTAAAACCAGCAAAAGTCTGAATATACACAAAATGAGATACTATTTTAGTGGTATTAGTGCATTTATAATCAGTATGTGACTGAATAGTATTGCAAGAAATATATTAAAAAGAAACACTGTAAAAAAGAAAAACATGTTCTGAATGCACAAGATACTCAAAGAAGACAGACTGACCACAATAAACAGCATGCATGCTCTGACTTTCTCTATGAACATATCAACACATCTGAGTAATATGTTGTTTGTATAGACTAGAAAAAACCACAATTAATTGCTTTAATGAAAAGGACCAAGAAAATGCATAGGCAAAAAAAGTTCACTTTCTCATCACGTTAAGATTATCTTAAAAATGTATGATTTTGGGGAAGCCTATGTCAGAGCATGCTTACCTAAAAAAGCTTTCGTTAACTTAGATGATAATAAAGAAGATTTTTGACCGGACATTTCAAATGATCCTGGAATACGTCTGACTGACTTGTCAGTAGACCCAGTGTTTTCCAATAAACACAGTTCAAAAAAATTATAGAAAATACAATCAAGTAAGATCAATATAAACGTAAGAACCATGCAGTAGCACTGTCTGTCCATTTCATGTCATGATTCACCTCAGTAAGATAGCACATGAAAACAAATTTTAAAAAAAACAGTGCAGTTTTACAAGCAACCAAGGCATTAGGTCATTTCTGCCAAAAAAGGAGATCTCACCACATCTCTGCTCTCAGAGACAGTGTCTGGCTCCTTACCTTGCATCAGCTCTGAAACCTGTCAGACTCTTCTAAGAGCTGTGAAGGAAACGGACAGGGGAAGCAGGACACCTTTCAGCAGCAGCGAGCTGCTGTACAAATTTGAAATACCTTGTGGAACATTCTGTACGTGCTGGAATCTAAATATCTGTGATTAGAGACTAGGAAGTGTCTCAAAAAAGTACTGGTATATCACAGCTCAGCCTGTAGCCTTAACAAGGCCTGGGACAAAATGCCTCAAATGTGCAAGCTGCCACGTTCTGTCAACTTCAAGTTCCGATAGCATGATTCTGACAGTCCACTTTGGTTGGTATGCTTCTGTGTGGGTATGCTAAGGATGGGTATGCTAATCCTGCTGGGATAGTATTATCAGAACACTGAGGTCAGGCAGAGGAAGGCAAATAGGCAGCATCTTATTCATACCAGCCATAAATCACAGGATAAACCAGCCCAAAGCTACATTCTGAGTTTTAACTCGGAAGGAATTAGTCCATTCACTCCAGAAGATGCCTACAGTTTGAACAGAGACTGCTACACACACTGATTAGCTAAATTAATTGACTGAATAGACTCATTTTTGATAGTAGTTATACAGGACAGTCTTTACTTCAAGAGATTTTGTCTCTTCTATTAGAACTGAAATGAGATGGACAATTATTCATATTCCAAATACTGACAGTAACACACATTTTCTAATAAACAGGCACGCAAATCTCTATCATGCATACAATGTTAGAAGATACTACTTGTATCTGCCGGAGAGATTGAGATGTATTCAACATTCAATATATCAGGTTTCTTCTGGTATTTCTTTGAGCATGTGAATATTCAACTATACTCAAGCTAGTTTCTCTAGCGGCACTCCTGCTTTCCAAATTAAAGTAAAGGCTAATCTGCTTTTCTGATTGATATGTTCAATTATTTTATTTCTCGACCTTTTTGGGCAAGCTGGTAAAAACCATTTTCCTACTAACAAATAGGAGTGCTTTTATTTTTTTCATCTGGCCTGAGAAGGTAAATCAGTTTAGTTACCACTAGTATGCCTTTTTGTCACTAAAAGAAAGGATATGCCCCTTGAAGCCTACCCGTCTATGCTTTCTAGATTAATGACACAAACATCTTCTGAAGTACAAAAGTGTAAATTCATTAGTAACATTTCAGTTCTCTCTGCTGCAGAACCCTGTGGGGAAAAAGCCATAATACAGAATATCTGATTCTAGTACAGAAGTTTACATATTAAACCGAATTATACAACACAGTTATAAGTAATCTTTATCTCTAAAGTTAAGATTCTCTTTTCATTCTAAAAGAGGCTTTGTCTTAATTGGCTTTACACTTCTCCACCTCTGTCGTGACTTATTTTTACTTTAAAAGGTGAGAAGCTGGAGAGTGATATTTTAAAGCAGGTTTGGAAAACAGAAATTAAATCTTTATGAATGTAATATTATATACCATTTTTTGTTATTTTTGAAAAATGTATTAATTATGCAGCATCAGAGTACGCAGTTAAACTAAAATCAACGTTTAGGTGGAAAATAACTGTAAAGTTCTCAAAAAAAAAGCCTTCTAAGTTGCTGCAACAACTTTTGATGCAACAAAAGTCATAAAAATTCATGTGAACAAGCTTAACTATTGAGAGTAACCCACTTAAGGCCAAAAATATACATCATCCATACATCAGATGTGGATTTGTCTGGAAGGAGATCATAGAATGAAAAAGAAATCCTGCTCTGCGCTTTATGCCTGGTCATTTCCCCTTAAACCTTTCCCTTAAACCTAAGAGTTTAAATCCTTCCTGGACCCTGTTTAAGGTCTCTAAGGAAAGAGGACAGATAGATCCATTATCTTTATAAAACAAAAAAAATATATTAAAAAAGAAACCTTTGTTTGGAACCCCATCTCCCACTACCAGGGCTGCAAATGGAATGCTTTTTTCCCTATTTGAATTCTCGCTTTATCCGTTTTACACTTATCTTTTGCTTTAATCACTCTTTAAAGAATTTTAAAACACTGTTAAACTACCTAAACAAATACTCAGACAAAATTTGACATAACATCATAGTGACCGCAGAAATACCTACAATATTTTTATGATTTTGGCAAGAATCTCCCAACCCCTCACCTCTTAGTAAAGTGACTGAGCATTGCAGTTATGTCTTACATATCAATAAACTAGCCCTGTTCAGAAACAGGTGGCATAGGTGCTGCAATAAACATTTCACACAAAATTGCCATGCCAATGTATTATAATAAAAATTCAGCTTTAGTAACTCTGGATCCTAACTGTAGCAGCATTACTTTGGAGAAAAACAACCTTTCAGAAATGCAGGGTTCATGCTGTTTATAGCATGAGAGGCCAAAAGCCACCTTCCAGTGTATGCAGTTCCTGAAGATGGCTGTCTGTTCAGCTCTGACTTGTAACATCTGTACATCAGATCAGACCATTTAGGAAACTGTAACCTTCATGATCTACTTTTCTGTTCCCTCCTGTCACTTCCCCCCACCAGTCTGGGTACATAAGAAGTGGGAACAGTAATAACATTGCTCAGTTTCATTGTTTATTCAGAATCACAGTGTTTTTTACTCAGCACGAAGCATGATCACTTCCTACAAATTTTTTGATGACAAATGGTATGCCAATACACACCATGAAGGTAGGAAGATGTAAATGAATCCTCAGCTGTCGAGGTAGGTAAGAGGGGAGTTGTCACCAGTAGTGTGACACAAGAACGTCTCAGGACAGGTTTTTGCCAGCACTCCGAAACCTACCATATTAGCAATGACTTGCAGGGAGCCTCATGAGTCCTCCCACACTGAGTAGTCACAACTGAACGGTTATTTCTAACTCCTCTACTCCTAAATGGTGCTGCAGGAAATCAAGATCTTGCACCTGAGAGTGCAGAAAACTTCCAATGCCGTTTGTACCCATGAAACTCAAGGCTAGTATCTGTACAGATTGATAAGCAGTACCCAAAGCTGCATGGTTAAGAACGTGTGCCTGTACTTTTAGGCACAGGTTAACAGGAAAGCAGCCTCTCCAATTCCCACAAGACTTCACGAGCCAAGTTCCACTTCTGCATCTCTGAGGCTGCCACAGGGCTAGAGGTCAGCTCTTTGTCATGGAAGGTCGTGATTAAACCAAACAGAAAATTTCCCCAGGTAAGTAGTCACTGTTTTTCTACTGCTCTTCTCCCTCCTACACCTCTGATACTTGAGCCCATGGGGCACACTGCAGTCCTGTCCTGGTACCAGGGGAGAAGGCCTGCTCATCTGCACAGCTATTGGCTCCAAAAGAAATGAAATGCAAAAGCCTCACCAGTCCCTACAAAGAGCAGTACACTCCATAAAATCTAAGCAAAATGTTACAATAAAATACATGCACCTATGTACTTCTAAGGGCCACACTGGAAACACCCAAAGTTTTTAGCCGTCCAGAAACTCAAAACAAAAGACATTCCAGTCACAAACACACCATTATAGCCAAAGCCACAGGGGAAGCACAAAGAGCCTAATTCCCATGGCCATATAAGCAGCTGGCAGACTACTAAAGCAACAGCCCTTGCCTGCTATGAAGCATGAAGCTGAACTCCAGAAGAAATGAGGTTTTGGACTTGCTCCTGTTCCTGGTAGCTTCCAGGGATCACGAACCCTTTACAGGGAGCAGTTCATATAGACCAGACATTAATCATAAAAAAAAAAAAAATATATATATATATATATATATATTTAGCAGAGATCTAGAGTTTGCATGGCTCACAGTTATATCCCCCTGCTTTAGGTAAACTTCTGGAAACGGATATTAAACTCTGATCTAGAGACAATGGAAAATATTCATAAAATCAAATGTTCTAGAATGAAGCACCTGTTCAATACACTTTTTCAGTCTTCCATTTACATATAACATTGCAATTATTAGAAAAAAAACCAGAATCAAACATTTAATGAGTTAAAAACATGGAATATTTTATGTAAATAACATTATTTTTAAATTCAAAGTAAAATGTAAATCTTCTAAAAGACTCACCGGATGTTTGGCTGAAAGTCTGCCAGTCACAGTTCCTGTCTGATTCCATGTAGAGGAAATAAATCCCTTTAAATCAAGTAAAGTTAAAAAAAAGAGAGAGAGAGAGAGAGATGCATGTAAAAGGATATGTTTCTCTAAAGTTTAATAAATACAAATATTAGTAATGAAAACTCACTGCAAGCAGGACTGCAATGCCAACAAGAAATATTTTAGCATTTTCGATACACAAAATTTCTTAAACTAAATGCAGCAATTATTTCATATCATGAGCTCAGGAGGAAAGTCTTCTTTGAAGACATCACATTTTGCAGGCTATGTTCTGCATTTTTACCTTTTTCATGCAAGTTAGTAGTCCATCCACATAGGCTGATTTTATCTTATGAACCTAAATCACATAAATGTAATACAAAAAAGACAAATTCTTATTCATAAATATAAGCGATTTTCAAATTAAAGATATTGTTCTTCAAATGCCTATTAATTTTTTCTTTTTAAAAAAAAAGCATACAAACTGTTTTACCTTCAAAAATAATGCATGTATATTCACTAGTAGCTTGACCTACTAACGTAAGTTAGGTTTGGTTATACTCTAAAGCCAGGTGTAAGCAGATACTAGCAAATGAACTATCAGAATTTATAATTTTCAATGAATGACACAAAAAAGCCGCAAAAAGCCCCACTTTTTGTTTTTTATCTTGGAAGCGCATCTACTGAAAAACGAAACATTAGGCAAAAGAGCAGACTAAATGGGTTGCTTTGGATTTTCATGGAGCTCTTGTCACCTGAAAAACAACATAACTAGTCATCAACTTCACTTTCTTCAATGTATTTCTTCTGAGCTAGAAAAGAGAGATTTTGAGAGTGTTTTATAGCACTAGACAAATTTAACTGCAAAGTTTTCCAATTGCTTTTGCAACAGAGAGTGTTTTGTTAGCTACATCTAATATATTGCAAAACAGGAGTATAAATTTTAAATTTAGAAATGCTTTAGAATATCTAAAACATCAAAATTTAAATAAATATTTAAATGGATGTAAATAAGAGCCTAGTCAACATTTTTTCACTTAGCTGTGAAATGTTATTTCTTGCTGATCTTTGTTTCCGTGAAACGACGAAATGTAAAAAAGCACAGCTCACCTGCCGGTATTCTAAAATTATCTTAGGCAAGGGATGAAGATCTTGCAACTTATTTAGCTGCAAAATAAAGAACCTGAATTACTCTTACACTTTTCTGCTAACTGGCATTATTTAACCATCTAAATTTAACCATTAGAACATTGGTTTATATTTTACATTTAAGTATCAGTAAATAAAATACAGAATCAATTTTGGAGGAAGAAATTCTCTCTCCAAGCTGAATTCACTAAATAATGCGCTAAAGGATAATACGCTTACCAACAATCTTCCTTAGGCCCAAGGAAGCCTTCATTCTTTCCTACCTTCAAGATGGAGGACTGGAGAGTATCCTTCCCTTCCAATTTCATCCCTTCCCCAAGAGGGATAGAGAGATATACAGAGATAAAAACTTTTCCACAAGTACTTTGAAAACATAGGGAGGTGGGAGGGGCTGATTGTGTTCTTTTGTTTATTTTTCAGTGCTAGATAGCATCTAAGTAAGAGGGAACATGCTAAAAGCACACGAAATTAAAAAAAAAAAAAACAAATCTAGGAAAGGCAAGAGGAGAATTTTTTCTTTTTTCCCCATAATACAAGTTTTGCGAGACTTTCAAAGAAAAAAATGTTGAAATTCTCAAATCCAGAAACAAAAAAATGAAGTATATTTTTGTTTAATTTGCTTGTAAATCGCCAAAAAATGTTATTAAGAAAATGAATGAAATGATTCAAAGAGAGATTGGATATATATTAGTACAACAAAAATATCAGGAACTACAATAGATTAGGGTAAAAAATAGATGCAACTATACCAGAACAGAGATTTAAAAGGATAAGTCTCTTTCTTACTACCAGGGAGAGACAAGATATTAATTATCTTGTATTTATCTATCAGAAGGTTTCAGTTTACCTTTCTTTAAATAAGCTAGCCTTAGCAATTGTTGGAAACAGAGAAGTGGACTAGGTAAAAGCATTGCTTTGGTCCACTGCACACAAAAGACGACATGCATTCTATTTCGCTAATCCTTCCTATCTCCCAAAGCTTACTTGTGGCTCTCCAAGATTACATATTTGATCTATAAGACTTCCTACTCCTTGAATGAGGTGCAATTTATATTGTTATACTGTTGATACTACCTCAGAGATAGTATCTAGTAGTTTAGGCAGTTGGCCTAAGTTGAATTTCCTCCTTCATACATGAGAAACAAACACTATTTTTATCTTTCCCAGAGGTGTTCATTTTAAGCTAGGAGTTGATCATTTTAATTTGACCCCTATGCAGATGTCACACCAAATAATGAAGGCAACTGTCTCCACAGAGGAAAAAACTGAGGAAAATTCACGTACGTGAAAAGAAAACATGGAAAATACAAAGAAAGTGACAATTCCCAATTCCAACCACAGGTATCAAATAATTTCCCACAAAATCGTTTACTTAGCATGAATAACGAGTTAAGGGTCTTAAAAAGACAACGACAAGGTATTAGCCCAGATCTCCTGACATAAGAAAGTTTGGGTTGCTAGTTTTCTTATCAAGCAAATTTTAAGTTAACATTCTTTTCTTTCACCTGTGGTCTCTTCCACCCAACCAGTTAGTCATACATAGCCACCAAAATTTAACAAGTGAAAAAGCCTCCCTCCTTTGAAGCAGATCATAAGTATATCCCGGTAGTAAAGTTTGTAACCATGGTTATAGCTGAAGTTTAGATTCTACAGCTGGTTTATTTGTTTGTTTTTCCCATCACAGAGAGCAACCTGAAGACAGAGAAGACTGCAGGGTCATCAGATTTTTTTTAGAATGTGTTCAGTTTGTGAGGAAGAGAAGGCTGGATGGTGTCTCCAAGCAGAATCCCTGTAAATGTACTCACTGATCGTCCTGGAGAAATTGGAAACAACACAAATAGGCAAGAAAACATAAACAACTCATTCATGTTTCATAATGAGGGAGAAATCCTAATGATGAAAAAATAGCTGAGTAGTTTATTGCCAGCTCCAAAACTGATTTAAGAGAATCCTGTCTATAGCTAAGACTAGACGGCGTCAGATCAGACCTTCCTGTAGAGTCACTGCAAGGTGCTATGCAATTCTAAGAACTTCAGGTCAGAAAACCTGGGGGTTTTTTTCCTTTATTTCTGACAAACCTGTATATACTATAAAGCTGCCTTTCTGCACTAAGCCTGATAAATGTCAAGGGCAGTAGAATTCTCCTCTTACCATTCTGGATACATGCTGTCTAAGACGGACAACCTCCTTCTCCATCATTCATGGCATAAGTAAAGGAAGTGTGATAAGCACAATATAAAAATGACAGTTTCGCTGGAACGTAATTTAGAACAACTTCTAAATTATGCATAAAGTTTAAAAACCCCTCCCAGTCTCACCACAGCTTCTGAGGTGGATTCAACTTGCTGTATCTCAGTTCTGGGAATTTTCTCACACAGCGTATGCAGTTTTAATTTTTCAAATAATACCTACATTAAGAAAAACATAAGAGAAAATTTTCCACGTTTCAAATACTGAAAATAGAATGGAATATTATTTGGTGTCTGAACTTAAAGTCCAGAAATCAGATTTCAAGGAAAATCCATCTAACTCTGCTTGAGCAGGAAGGGTGGACCAGATGATCTCCAGAAGTCCCTTCCAATCTCAACTAGTCTGTGATTCCGTGAAAACAGAGCATACTGTAGCAAACAGAGAACTAACATAGAACTGAAAATATCAAACTTTTATTATTTCAGTTATTATTTGTAAAATTAGTTTATTTACTAAAGTCAGTTTTTTTCTTTAAAGCCATTTAAATACAGATTTGCCAAAATTGCCAAGTTTTGGAAAAAACTGTCATGTCTTCCATTATAAACAGAAAAGACGACAATCAGTATGTCAGAAGAATTCTGAAGTTGTAACAACAATTTTAGATGCTTTATAACTCTTCTCTGTCAACTAACAATGCCTATTAATAGTAGTATAAATATTACCTCTCTGAGCTGACTACTGCTCGTCAAAAGGAATCGTTCTCCAGCAACTTGATGGGCTTCCTGCTCAAGCTCTTTCAGTCGCAACTATAAATTAGTACCTCCGAGTTATTCCTTATTATTTTCTTCAATGTTCAGTTACTTCCTAGGTTAATAAGTATATTGGACTTCTACTTACAAATGGGTACTTCACAACGCATAATAATTGCTGGCTATCAACATTTGGTTCAGCGGATTGTATATGTACTCTTTAAGCTATGTTTCATCATCATGTAGGAAGGGGATTAGTAAAAGGTACCAAAATTTGAAGGAAAATAATTCAGAATATTCAGGACTGTGGAGATCTGTGAGAAACAGGGCTCTGCAAATTATTCTGGTAAACTTCCGGTAAGCTTGCCAGACCACTAAGATTACCTAGACTCCAAGAAAGCGTATTTTTGTTTTACTACAAAACAGTTCTAAGCTTGTCGTTTCTCAGTCGATTAAAACAGATACAAGAGAACACTATCAGAACACATAACTTATAAAGACAGTATTTTATTGGCAAAGAAAAAAAAGAAATAGCTATCTCTTCTCAGAAAGACTGTTACTGATAACTGTAGGTTCAGAAATATTCATTATGATTACTGTTCTACAACACACCTAATCTAAAAGAGCTGGTGGATTTTGGAAAGCATTCTCAGTATGGGGCAAGACTAATGAAGTAAATGTGCCTTTTTTGCTTGTACAAATAAATACGGAAATACCCTAATATGCAAACATCATTCGCTATATTTATATTAATAAAAATTTAAGAAACCCAAAACTGCTTATGGGAAAACACGACAAAACAGAATAGATTTCTTCTTTTTAAATCAGTTATTCTTCATATACAGGCAGAAAAATTTCCCCAAGAAAAAATAAAGACCAATAAAATTTACCCCCAGAATCTCTGATGTTTTTTTCAGCTCTTGTTTGTTCACATGTATTTTGTGTGTTTCCATCACTGTAAATACAAATATATACTGAGAAAAATTACATCAGCTCTATTTATAAGTCTATGTATCATTATATAAAGAATCAAGCATCATAATGAGAAAGAAAAATTTAAGATCTTATTTTCCATTTGACACTGACTTGCTTGAGACTCCCAGGAACTTGGCTGTGTCAAATTAAATACTCAAAATAGAGTATTTAAGATGGTTGCAAAGTTCAAGAGGAGTCATGTAAGTAGTTTGACTTTTAGAGGGACCAGTGACGAGACATTTAAATAAGTACTTGGATTCCTAGCTTTGGGCACTTACAGGTGATGATTTTGACCTTACTTGCTTCTTAGTCTGTAAAATGGGAGCTCTGAAACTCACATATGCGCTATGAGGATAAGGTAACATTTAGTATTCTGAGTTATAACGTTCTATTAAAACATAGTAAGTAGGTGTGTGAAAATGGTGAAGATTCCTATTTTGAATTGAACTTTCATACCCGCCAAAATTTTGATCAGTGGAAGCTCTAATGTGCAAAATAATTTCCACAAACCTTGAACCTGAAAGCAAGATGGAAACAAACTCATCAGTATCAAACAAATACAGTTAAAAAAAAAAAAAAATATATATATATATATATTTATAAGTGTAATTCTGTGGATCTCTTTTCCAATAAGCACTATTTTACTTTCTGCATAATCCCTCTTTATATGACAAGACTGTTTGTGGAATGAAATAGTACTTAGTGTGAATTATAGTATCTAAATACAGACCATTATCATACCATTTTGTGGGGAAAGGTACAGGAAGAGTAAGAAAAAAAAGAAAAGCATACATACCTCATTTTTCTAAACAGTTTAATTTTCAGAGTAAGCTCCATTATAATAGGGCAGATAATTGTCCCTTTTTCTTTTTTCACTTGAACAATTAAGCAACCATTCAGGATGCACAGTTTGGTTTCCATCAGGAAGAAAACAAACAGTGATGGGACCAATTTATTCATAAAGAACAGGCAAATCTTTTTTTCCTCTAACCACTGAAGCAATCAGACATCAATAGTTGTCTAAAAGCTCCTCCTGTAGCGTTGGCTGTCAGTGCTTCTGTGCCTTTGGTGTTTCCCTGTTGCCTTCCTTTGCAGATTGTCTCATCATACTGCTGGGCCACTTACACATCCAGACTAATACCAACAATACTAATACTCCATCTACGAATGGTCTCAGCCCTACGCTTGCTATATCAACTTCAAAGAAAACCCCTAGGATTCTATGATGTACCTTCCACCAGAACCTGAACATAACTCTAAATTCTGATACTCTTTCATCTATATCATTACAGGAAAGAAAAGCTAAAAGTTCTTGAAATGCACTCTGAACTTCAGCAATGGTTAATATAACCTACAGCAATAGATATGCTGAGAGTTTTTGTCCCCAAGAAAGACACTTTGTAAATACGCCTTCCTGTAAAAAGCAGCTACATGGTGTTTTAAGAAATAGAAAATAAAACATCACCCCATATAGCTCCAAAATACTAAACGAAAATATAATCACAATATTCTAAGCATTTTGTGTTGTTAGAATATTCATATAAATGTGTAAATTAACTGTTGTAGAGGAAAACTTTCTTCTCATGAGTAACCTTCAGACTAAATGCTTCCTCCTTCTGGAAAAAAATAGTAGATTTGTTGGACAACATTATTTTAATGTTGACCAGCACTGTAAATCAGTAAGGATTGAAGTCTTCCATTTTACTCACATCACATAGAGATTCTGATCTGAATGAGGCACATCACTAACTTTTTTTACTTCATCTTACTATTGCAGAAGTTATATCAGAACATCTACTTTTCAAATCTTACCTGTAAGTTACGAGCAAGACCCATCATTACATTATAAAGCTTCTCCAAGTGTAAACCTATGCTTTGATACTAAAAAAAAAAATAAAATCAAGACTATTTTATTTCTAGCATAAAATCATTCAGAATACTATCTGTTCTAAAAGGGATTAAACTATACATTTTTTCCGTATTTGTCTCCTATTATTTAGCATTTTAATAATGTTCTTAGAGCTCTGACAAACACAATTCATGGACATACAGGGGAGTCAGATAAGAACATTCAAGATTTTACCTGTTCCCTTATTTATATTCTGCACAGACTGAGCATGGAAAAATAATACCACTACACTGCCTTTGATGTTGAAGTCAGAATTCTATTACTATTTCTAAATTAAGGAAAATGTGCTTTGCAGTTTCATTTCTGCTGGCAGTATTGCCTCCCTTTCATGCTTGAACTATTCACTTCCTTTTCTTCCGTTTCAGATGTGTTCTACATAGAGCCATGCTACCTTATCCAGTTGACTGGATCGCTTTGAAGCCCACAGAAACTCTAAGAACATTATCATTAAAAAATACGTAATTAAATCTTTGATATTAAGTCAAGTCAGGCTAATACATAAAATGTAGACAGTAAAGTGTTTCTTTTCATTAGGAGATTCATGTGAGGAAAGATAGGATGGTGGAAAACTGCGGATTTAGATTTTCTTTTCTGTAACCAGTATCTCCAGTGATGGCTGAATGATCAAAATTATGGAATAATATTCCATTCAAGCTACTAAGCACAAAAACACTAGCACTATCCCATAAAATTCTTGGGCCTCAAATCACTAGAGCCTAGGACAGTATTCTAGAGAACTAAAGTTATATACTTGACTGTCCATATACTCTTCCCTATCACATACTGGTCAGTGTTGGAGGCAGGGCAAGAGGTAATACGGACTTAAATATGACAGGTTATGACAGTTCTTAGTTTTTAGTGAAATTAAACTACGTGTGATTTGTATAAAAAGAAGAGAAGTATTTACTCTTTGTTGATATATACTCCTGAAGATACAGCTGTAGCTATGGGGCAATTCTGCCACCATATGTTAGGATAGACTTAAAAAAAAAAAAAGAGAGATTAGTTAAAGAAGAAAACCAAAAACAACACTAAGTTTAGAAAACATAACCTCTAGAAGTTTAGAAGAAAAAAAGTTGGAGGAAGAAGATGTAACAGTTTTTACAAAGAGACTCATATATCAATTAGTTTCATGTACACTAAGCGTAGAACAATTAGTAACTGGCTTAATTTGTAGACTAAGAAATTTCTTCATGAACACGTTAGGCTGACCTCTCTAATGGACAATCTAGGTAAACATACCTCCCATGAGAGGAATGAACTAGATTCTCTCTCGGAGAACTTTCAAACCCTGATTCCACAAAACAGAAAAAGCCTTCTTGAAACTAAATGACAAAAAGGCAAATCAGACTGAATCACAGCATCATTCATATGCACAGTTTAAGGACAGGAGAAAACTGTCAAGTTGCAGCAAAGGAAATTTCAACTGAACATTAAAAAGTATTAAGTGATGGTGGCTAAGCACTGGCACATGTAACCCAAAGAGTTTGCAAGACATCCATCCTTAGAAATATTCAAAACTCAAGGGAATAAGCCCTGAGCAATTTGAAGATGGACCCACTTTGAGCAGGAGGTTGAACTAGACAATCCCCAGAGGGCCCTTCCAGCTCAAATTACTCTATGATTCCATGAAAAGCAAGTTTTCACAGAGGAGAGGAAACAAACTCATGTTTCATCCTGAAGTTTAAGTGATCATTTTGACAACCTGGAGATGTCTTCATTTGAAATGTGCTGCTTTTCTGCTTACGATGGGGTTAAAGATCTCAGAAAGCAGTTTGACTCCTTTGATAGGTTTACCGTTACCTTGTATAACTCCACAATGCAGAACTTCATTGATAACTGCATTAAAAAGTATTTCTTTTTATCAGTTTTTAATCCCATCTCCTTCTAATTTCATCAGATGACCCTTAGTTCTAGTATTGCAGGATTAGTGAATAGCGCCACTGCATTCACCTTATCCACTGCTTTCATAACAATTTTAAAAACAGCAAGTATATTATCCTTCAGTCTTTCCCTCTCTAACTTAAAAAGTCCCAATCTTTTCAGATTCTCCTTATCAAGCAGCTGTTCTGTCCTCTGTAGGGCAATTTCAGTTGCCCTTCCCTGAACTTTTTGTAACTCTACTGTGTCTTTCTTGAGATGCAGAGACCAAAACTGCACACGGTCTTCAAGATGGGGGTGCACCAAGGTCTTCTACAGCAACAAAATCATGTTCTCAATACCTCTGCTTACGGTGCCCAGATCTTATTGGCCTTTTGGCTGCTGCTGCATTTTGAACCAACAGAAAACTGTCAACAACGATTCCAGGATCTGTTTTCTAAGTCGGAACTACCCTAGACTCATTACCTTAAATTTATCTACACTGAAGCTCATCTGGTACTTGTATGCCCACTCAGTTTAGTGAGATCCTCAGAAATTCCACATCCTAAGCTGAACTGTTGACTATCCAAAAAGGTAGATGGGAGATTCATTTGACGTAAAGCATTAAAAAGGATAATTAAGAGTTCTAAAAATGATTCTAGTATCCTAAATTCTGGTTCTAAATAATAAATGGAGGGGAAAAGAAAAAAAGAAAAAAAAAAAAAGAAAAAAAAATCCCTGAAAGGAAAGACTAGCCTGAGAGAAGCCAGAAAGGTAAAATCTGCATTAAATCCCTTGAGAATAAGGAATTTTCAGCAAGCCCAGAACCCAGAACGCAAGGCACCACTATGCTAGACAGAGTGCAGTAGCGTTTTCAGATCCTTGCCCATGATAGTTTGAAAGAAATCTATAGCAAATGGAATTGCAGGATGCTTGGGCTTACTATTTTGTTTGACAACATCAGTTTAATCAAGTCTGTTCCTTGGGCATCTTGTGAGTAAACTATCTTTCTGGGTTTATCATTCATCCGATCTGTGTTTTAAAGGAATCCTAACTGTTCTATGCTCATTTTATTTCCATTCTTATCCTGGAGCTGATGGAACACTAAGTGGGAGCTCCTCTGCCATGAGCTGCAAGAAGTCTCTCTTTTCTCTAATGACCTCCAGCTACCCCACAACTTCCTCACCTTACTTCTTTCATGAAATATCTAAAGTTAGAACAAAAATCTTCTCAAAAATAAAAATATTGTTTTCTGCGCTCAGAGTGAGCTAGAAGGCATTTTTCTTATCAGAGTTAGCTCTCAAAAATTATTCTACCAAATTTGACTTTGCTGCCCATTTCACATTTTTCATTCAATACATTCAGCATCTTTCCATGTTCTTCTGTGATGAGAACGAAACACAAGGTTACATTTCTACTTGTTATCAGATTTATATTCTCCTCTGTAAGACTGCACGGAAAATGAAGATATTACCTCAGTTTGAATGAAACATCTAGTATTTTGTAAACAACAAAACTAAGATCCTATTAACTGAAAGAGCATAAGAAGGGTAACCAGATGTGATACTACTCTATTAAACTAAATACCATTAGGCTAGGAATGTCATTTATAGACTAAAGCAGAAAGACTGCCACTGAAACTGTTACCAAGAGCATTTTCTTAAGAAGAAGTCTGATTTCTGAACACTCTCATCCTTCAGTGCTTTTAATGTGTCCAGTCAGAACAGCTGATCTTTTGAAGCAAGAACAGTTTAAGAATGACCAAAGTTGTTGGGAAATCTTCAAAGTGCTTCCTAAAGCAGAGTATATGCAGTCCAAACAGATCCCAAATTAGGGATTTTTTTTCTTTATAAATCAAATTCATAACGTAACGAAGGTAAAGGAAGACTATTCTCTTCTTCCTTCAGGGAGCTAAAGACCTTTCCGAATTCGTGAGGAGGTAGCTTCTGAACAGGGTCTTTTGCAGGAATTGCTTCTTGAGCTGGATATACATTATTTCCTTATTGTCTTCAGACTGACTCTCAGAACCTCCTGGTTCGGTTTCTAGGGAGTGAGGATAGATATGGACTGAGATATCAGTACATCTAAGCTGTTAATCCTATGCCCCTCCAGTACAACAGTCAGCTGGTAATCAATAGGTGAACATAATCTGCTCTCCAAGCAGCCAGTAAAAGCCTACCTCACACATAAAGCTCACAGTTTTGGCCTACTGTTTGCAGAATAAAAACAGAAGTCTGGAATAGAGGTATTACAGCAGCTCCAGATTAATAAGAGCAATGCTTTCTTCGTTATTTGATCCAAAGAAACTGCAGAATGAATTTGAATTACTTGTTGCTGCATAAACACAGTAAAATCAGAATTGACCAAAAATCTGTTTATATTAAAGCAAATTATAATATGTTGCTGCTACAGCAGCAAACAATCTGATCAGCGTAGGAACATATTGATCCTTGCGCCATTGTGGTCAAGAAGGACAATGGTATCCTGGGTTGCATTGGAAGAGCGCTGCCAGCGGGTTGAGGGAGATAACCCTCCCCCTCTATTCGGCCCTAGTGAGGCCACATCCGAAGTACTGTGTCCAGTTCTGAGCTCCCCAGTACAAGAGAGACGTGGTACTACTGGAGCGAGTTCAGTGGAGGGCCTACAAAGATGATGAGGGGACTGGAGCATCTCTACTATAAGGAAAGGCTGAGAGAGCTGGGCCTGGAGAAGAGAAGATTGACAGGGATATTATCAATGCATTTAAGTATCTGAAGGAAGAATGTAAAGAGAATGGGGCCGGACTCTTCTCCGTAGTGCCCACTGACAGGACAAGAGACAACAGGCACAAACTGAAAATACAGGCAGTTCTGTCTGAACATGAGGAAAAACTTCTTTTCCTGTGAGGGTGACTGAGCACTGGACCAGGTTGCCCAGAGAGGTTGTGGAGTCTCCTTCCTCGGAGATATTCAGAAGTCATCCGGGCATGGTCCTGGGCAATGTGCTCTAGGTGACCCTGCTTGAGCAGGGGGGTTGGACTAGATGATCTCCAGAGGTCCCTTCCAACCTCAATCATTCTGTGATTCTGAGATCTAACACCAATTTCTAAGAGCAGAGGGGAAGTGCCTAAACTTATTAGTTATAGGAAGTTATGGTTCATTCTAAAAACAACACTAATAACTTGTGTATGGCAACTTAAGTAGCAAAAAGTTAGCAAAATAAAATAGATTTTAAAGGAAAAGACCATACATGCATATAATTGCAATCATACGCTCACCAATATGTGCACCCCTCTACCACTGAGCTTGAGATATCTGGAAAGTAACTGGCCTTCGGTACACCCTACCTCATTCACCTTGATATCAGCTACACAGTTGATCAACTACCCTCTTACTTATTCAAACCTCCTTTTTACCCTTTCTCCTTCCCTAGACCAATGCTGTGGTGAGAATCTACTCTTTTTTTAATATTAATCTCCAACTGCATATTAGTCTCTATTTACATTATTACATTCCTCTTCACAGATCTTTTGGATGCTGACTTCAAAAAGTTTGATTCTTTTCTTAATTATTTGCTAAGACAACTTCTTGTTTGTTTCAATTATGACACTTTGCAGGTGTGCAGTTTGTGTCAATTGCCCTATCTTCCATTGTATGTTAAATAAAGACGCAACTACTTCTCCTTGTGTAAATATGCTTTTAGTCAGAAAACTAGTACACAACAATGAATCTACTTCAGTCTGATCAGTTAAGTCTTTACTATTCTGGTCATTTTGCTACATGAAAGCTTTAATTTCTTATTGCAAAAACCTCTGCACCTTCTTTCCTAATGAAATTCTATGTTTAGAGTTATCTTTAAAACTTCATTTATATCTTTTCTACTCTCACCTGATTCAAGTCTGTCTTATTTGTACAGCTGATTGTTTGCTCTGAGCTACAAAAATAAGCTTTCGATAAATAAAGAACCGTAATTTCCTGGTTAACAAAAGTCTTTCAAATCTTAAAATTTAAAGCGTAAAAAATCTACAAAGATTTTAATAAAGCAGGTGTAATTCATAGAAGACAAAAAACAGATTACAAACAGAGAAAGAAGTGCATTGGGTGGACACTAGTCTAGTAAAATCAGGGCTGGAATTTGGAAGAGTGAAAGAAAAGGAAAAGGGTGATGAACTGGCAAAGAAGCAGCCTCTGACTGGAATCCAAAAAAGAGCAGACTGCTATTAAATGAACATGATGAATGCATCAGTGGAGCATACAGGGAGAAAAAGAACCAGACAGCAAAAGGAAGTTGGTGTCAGCTGAGAACAGTGACCAGAACAGGCTAGAAAAGGTCACTGCGTGTCTACATACCAAGCTAGTTCTCTTCTAACCTCTGCACAATACAATCCTCCAGTGCTACCCTTCGGCCTCATCCTCACGCACATGTCTACACTCCCTCATATGAGCTCCCTGTGGTGAATAATATACACCATGAGCAACATGCTATAAAACAAAACCCTGACAGACGGAGGTAGCCTGCTCATTATTTCGTCACGTGACGTGCACTTGCTTTAGCCCTTTCTAAAAAAGGAAGGGAAAATTTGCTTCAGTAGACCTCGAACGAAGAGAACTTTCAACTTCCATTATGGTAGAGGTTACCCAAGCTCTGGGGAAATCTTTGCTGCAGAAACGTTTTCCTAGAAATACCAGAAATGATGGTGCGCCACTATTTCACTGTTTTCACTAGAAACACACGAGAAAAAGCATGCCTCCTAGTCAAGGACAGCTCTGCCATATGCACCTGTCTCCAGCAGCAAAGGACATGATGATCCTATTAAAATGGAAGCATGTACACTAACAAAAAGCAAAGCTCTGTCCCACTTCTAGAGTATCACAATGAACAACTAAGACGAAACCCAGGTGAAACTTGTTTCATTTATGTGGCATCACCCTAGAGAAGTAGTACGGTTCTCTATCATTCCTCTCCCTTACATTGCTAAGGATCCCATTACCCCATCCCACTTGTCCCTTCTCCAGGGGAAATTCACTAACACTCACAGTCCAACCACATTCCAGCCTCCCCACTCTACAGGCAGGCCACCTGGGACATGGCTGAGTTGCTGCTTCTCCAGTAGATATTTTATCTTGAAATGACCATATGATTCAATATAACAACAGATAAAACTATTCCACGACACACAGTAACAGGCTTTACACAGTCTGATGTCTGTTATGGGGAAGCATGCCCCGGCATAGCCCTAGCAGTAGAAAAGAGTTTAAATGGGGGTAATGAATTCCACTGACAGCCTATGTGGGTTCCTCATCTGCTCAGGGACTACTAGTCACAAAACCGCAATGACACTGTTCATGTAGATGATTTGTGAGTAGACAACGTGGAAGCCTACCCTAGAGGCTTCCTATGTGATCACGCCTACAACAGACTTGTCTACTTAAGCACGGCACAAGTGAGGAATGGCAGGGCTCCAGGAAATGATATATTGGTGCTTGAACATAGTATGCAGGCACTGAAGAGCAAAGAGCACTGCAGAGGTCTGAAAGAAGATGAAATTTCAGCTAGAAGCTGAAATTTCTAGACCCACTGTTGGTTATCATTGTTACACAACACAGCGTAGTTCTATCAAGGAGGACTTCACACTACCCCAGACAGGTTAATTCAAGTGGGTTCATGCTCGAGTGCAAAGCCATCAGCCTGCAATGATACCCAGTGGTCCTGAAACAATTGATCTGCCTGTGAAATACAGTGCTTTCAGCAATAGACAACTTAACTTCATCCCACTCCAGAGGCAGAAGTAGGCCCAATGACAGCCTTCAACTGACATCAAAAATTCCTGCTTAGCAAATGCAGCAGTGACAAAAGCAGCATGATATTTAGCACCTGTTTCAGCAAAGGTTTCCAGGTGTATGAACTATGACCTCTTTTATGGAGCTTTTTGGCATGGCCACCTACTCTACAGATAAACAGCAAGGAGGGCATATTTTGTACTAGAGAGGTATTTGGGTGAGTAACCACAGAGCTATGGGATACGGATCAAAGTAGCAGTCACTCCAAGTACTGTGCAGAGTAGGAGACTAGCACAATACAGATGGAGCTAAACTGAAGCAGTGGGGCAGTGGACCTGATATATTACCTAGCCTGGATCTGTCTGTCAATACAGAAAAATGTTAGGAACCTATCACCAAAGTCAGAACAAGACTGAAGAGATAAATCTGACAAAGAATACGGATTCACAGGAAAACTGGGACTGATAGGGCAAAGAGAGAAATTAAATATGAGATGGAAGACTCGAGGAAATAATCAATTGGATGGAGAACGGGGGGGGGTGGGGAAGAATTGCAGTACGTTAGGAGAGGCATAAACTGGGATGTAAGCAAGGAGTCAACAAAAAGGCCTTGGAGATGTTTGGGGCAAGAAAATAAACTAGACCTAAGTAGGGCAGAAGGGAAATTAGACTTCAACATTTAACTCAAGAGTCTGGAATCAGGATGACAAAGTTGAGAAATGAAACCTAAGAATAGACGTGATATATGAAGAACAAAAGACTGAGGCAAGGAACTGTGGAAAGAGACAAGATTAAGAACGCTAGTTCACAAGTTCACAAGAGGGGATAACACATATAGAAATAACTGGTAAGTCCATAGCTTCTACCTGCCTGCCTTTCCACTCCCTACACTAATAGATTAAATCATAAAGTAGCTTCTGAAAAACTGCAGTTAGCAGCTAGCATTTTAAAGAAAATTGGCTCTGCTTTTCTCAGAAATACCTATACTGATAATTATATGCTGATACAACTGAGCTCTGACCATGCTCTAAGCCCACTGGACATCAACGGATTTTGATCCTAGAAGCTCTACAATCATGCTACAACATCTGTGTCTAAACAAGCAAGAACTCTGGAAAGTGAGAGGTTGCAAAGACATCTTATTTAGGTTACTGCACATCTGTTGTTATCAATAGTTCCCTCAAGCACTAAAAAGTTTCAAAATTCAAACAATCTGTGAAGGCTAATGTATCTAGAGTAGAACACTGTGGACCAAAATATATGAATGCCAAGATTTTATAACATTCAGTAAGTAAGTAAGAAATTTCGATAGACAATAAGACATTTCTACAGCATTGGGAGTAACTTTTCAGGTTCATTAAGCATCCTCTCTTATTGAGAATAAAAATACACATACTTTTTCTTCTATATGCTTTCAGGTTCATATTTGACATCATGTTGTTCTATGGAATATGATGCAGTATTTTCACAAACATATTGTGAAATTCAGCATTTTTGGCACATGCTACCTCTATGCAGCCAAATGATACACTTATTTTTCCCCCCACCCTCTCTCTCTACTCTGGTGCCTCCCCACAAATACGTCTTCTTTCGCAGCATGCTTACTAACAACTAACTGAATTACAGTAAGCATAGGCTACAAAGTACACAGGAATTAGGGAGCAAGGTATTAGAAAATTTGGGAATGAAAGCTGAAAATCACCTTGCAGACAGGTGAAAAAGAAAAGACTGTTATTTTGCTGTAATTAATACTAATTAACATTGTTACTGAGCATTAGCTTTTGACACAGAATTTAGTAGCTCTTTCCTGAGAGTTTAATACCATCTGGATAGACCACAGTGAACCCTTCCCCTCCCCCTTTTTCCAAAATTATTTTTCTGAAAAGTTGTGCTAATATAATCACTTTCTTTCATCAGAAAGAACAGTATTATCTGTATGTTTCTGCAATATTTTGTAAGCAATAGCAATATTTTTATTGTTTTTTTCCTTTTTTAATTTGTTTGCAAACAATTTAAAACAAACTACTTACCGATGCATTTCTCAAAGAGCCTGTATCTGTATTTACTGTTCCCATGGAAAAAGACTTTTCAAAATATTTCTGTATTAAACATTCAAAAGAGGGAACTGTGTCGCTTGGGTTTATCAGCCATGCTGCAATTCTTGGATCTAACACGACACTGTCAGCAACTACAAAAATATACATTTTTTTTTATTTAATCAAAATATTTCAATTACTTATTTCCAAAGATTTGCCATCTTTCATATAGAGACAGGTCATAAAGAGACAAGCACTACAAGAACATTAGAACATTGAATCGGCAGCTATAATTTTGAAGAATTACAGAATAGTTCTTCTAATAAGAATATTCTGAAAGATACTTTTTAAGGCTTTAGAATCTGAGTGCGCCTTTGGTTCTCAGGATTCCCTCTGCAAAAGTCTCTCTTCCTTATCACTGCCAAATTTCAAAGTTTTTTGAAGTTTTTTTAAATGGGTATTTCCCTCAGGTACGTTGTTGTTGTTGCTGTTAATTTAATTGATATCCATAAAATTGGTATGGAGGGGGAAAGGGTTTACTTCCCAGTAATCAGACTTCTGAGATCCGCAATGCATGTATAATTTCACATAGTGGGTGCACAACACTCTTCTCAAAATCAGAACCTTTTGTCCCGCAGGATATTCTATCCTTATGCTGCACTTTCAATCATGTTCACCTAGATACCTAAGATGGAGCAAGCCTAGTGCTATTTCCCTCTTAACCACAATAGCAACATCATATTTACTGTAGTACTACAAAGAAGAGGGGCAGAAACTAGTAATTAGAATTCTTTGAGATATATCCAAGGACAGACATAAGTAACCACTAAGAAACTTTAACTTCAAATGACAACCCATAGGTACATCTATAAACTAGAGAACTCTAAGCTATATAACCTCACAAACTCAGTTACCGAGAAGCAAGCTTTAATGTTCATAATGCAAGCTACAGCTGCAGGACTACTCCAAATAAGAACTGTATCAGTCTTGTTTTCCTCTACTGATACAAACGTTGCTGAAGAGAAATCCATGTGGCTGCTCAGCAGATGTTAGGTTGGGAGGCGTTCTGCTGCTGAAATAGCTTGAACTCTGCTGGAGTGCCCTCAGGAAACTGAAGGATACTTCATGTGCATCACCTCACACAAAGGTATGATGCAGCTTACTATCCCTTCCTTTCAATGTAAATAGCCATTCATCTCAGAAGCTTACAGATGCTAAGCAACCGCCTCGGAAATTGTCTCAAGTATGCACTCCTAGGAGTACTACTAAGGTAGTCCTGTCATTGGGAGGACAGTCTTGGCCTTAGAATCATGCAGCTTAAGAAACTACATGAAGCCTAGAATTCACTGAAAGCAAACTTGGGATAAGTCTACACAGCAGACAGGTTTGCCAGTAACTTAGATGATGCATTATGAAGAGGTAGATGAAGCAACACAGCCTCACTCATGGGCAGGAACACTCCAGGCAGTAGATGGCTGTTGAAAAATGTCTGTAAGGCTGCAGAAAAGCTCCCTCCCTTCATCCAGTGAGACAATGGACATTCACAAGCTCATCTGAGGACTGCATGAAATAAGCACTCATTTCCCTAATAATAATCACTGAATCCTACCACAGCTACATGGAGGAAGAGAGAACTACAACAGAATAGCCTTTGTGAGATCTCGTAAAAATCCTTTTTTCATATCTCTGTTTACAATGAGCACACAAAACAGTCTCTAGTTAAGAAGAAAAAGGGTAAAAATCCAACATCCCTGACTCAACTGTCCCTTTTCCCCTGACTAAAATTTTCACTGGCAGTGAGAGTACTAGCAATGAGAAACAGCCAACAAAGTTCTCAAACGCTCGACTCAAGCAAGAATATATGGGAACAGAAACCCCCGCCAGCTTTCTTTAGGAAGCAGCCTAGGGAGCAGACCTAAGTCTGTGACTCAGCACCACAGCATTTAGTAGGTACCAGAGTGCAGCACAGTAGAATCACATCAAGTTTAGACCCACCCAGGCAACAGGGACTAAGAAAGTTGTCACAGAACACCGGAAATATCTCTTTAAAACCCCGATCATCTCTTCTATGGTATAAGGATTAAATAACTGAGAGTGTAACAGTCAGAATAACTTTGTTACTTAGACAATAAATGGAATAATTATTTGGTCAGCAAATAGAAAGTGACCACCAGATGTCCTTATAAAGCTAAGATCTCTTCACAGAAGTTTCCCTTTTTTTCTGCAATCAATGGTACAAAACACAGAAATGATGAGGTGAAAGCAATGAGTTACATACGGAGGAAGACTGCATATAGCAGAGTGCTCTCTCTCATCCTGCAGATGAAAGAGTTCTAGTGGGACCGGAGAAGCCTGGCCTTATATTTGGCCAAGCTATGACCTTCGGCTGGGGAGAGAGAGATGCCCAGAACACCAAAGTACACATGCGCAGTGACAGAGCTAAAGATTCCACTTTCAGGAAGCATCACACATTAGTCTCTCTAAGCTCATAATGAAATGTCAGTGTTTGCTTGACTCTTCTAAAGATAAAAACCCGCCATTGCAAAGGCAATTTACACAAGGTACTTTTTACCACGGCAGAGACGTGGATGAAGAAACACTCGTATACAACTTCTAAAGCTTAAAAAACCTAAACAAGAATTCTTTTAGATATTTGGAGCTTCAGATTCAAATTCTATGAGTCAGAAGATAGCCTAGATCACTATTTCCCACGTATACAGGTTATAAAATTTTCACCAATGCCAGTACCATTACGACATTCTTCTGATGTTCACTCTTCCCCCTCCCCCAGGGCTAAATGCCTTCTGTGCAGATTTTCGCACTGGATTCTAAATCATTGGAAGTTTATTGTCATTTTCTGATGATACTTTTCAGATGCTGAACACAATCTGAAGACACTACAAAAGAAAGAGCGCCCACTAAAGGCGCTCAGCAGTAATACATAGATCCATTCAGAGAGTCAAGAAAAAATAAACATTATTTTTAGACCTTAATACTTCTTTGGTTTGTTGTTTTTTTAAATCCATACACAAGAGTATTATTGATTTATACCAGTAAAACAAGGATTCAGTCAAGTAATTCCTAATTCTGACAGCTATGAGCGTTTCTGGAATTTATTTTAGTCTCTCCTCTTGAGCAGCGGGAGGGAACACGAAACATGAAGCAATTTGACCTTCTCTGCTACAGTCAGCCCTGTGCGCTGAGCATTTGTCGACTGAACTTTTGTTTCCACTGGAAGATATCTGTAAATTATTCAACAATTTGATTCCTACTCCTGGAAGAAATACATCATCTTGATATGCCAAGCCTCTGGTCGCCACCTCTCAAAAACGGTTTTCTTTTCCACGGTACTAAAACTCTTGTTTTCCAAAATATTACTTAATCGCCAAGCTAGTTACTTCTACACCCAGTAATTTTAACAGAAACATCATCACCATAGAGATTACAGGATTTGATCGTAAATTAGATCCAATAGTTACCTTGTTTCCAGCTAATTTCATTGCCATAAAGTAGAAGTAATGTCCTCAGGAAATCTTTTGCATTGAAGCAAATAACTGGAACTTTGCAATGTAGCATTTGAAATAATATTTGCCTGCACAGAAGAAATCCATTAATATGCACTATATTGTTACAAGATTTAGTTAACAGTTTAAATTTCATTTATGCATTTAATTAGTACCACTAATCAGTTAATACAAGGGTTTTCTTTCTTCCTGTAAAAACAGAATTCTGTAGTTTAACATTAAAGTTCTCAATTTAATAATACCTGAAACTTCATTCTGTTCTAAATGAAATATCTTGGCAATGTGCTTTATCATGCAGTCATAAAGAAAATAAATTCTTATTTGACATTCAAAATTAAATGCAAGCTTAATACAAAACAGCAACTGGAATCCCTGTAACTCTTTAATATACCCAAATAGGATCACAGAGGATTCCGACTGAGTTAATCAAGGATAGTAAAACCACAACTTAAAAATTATTGGACAATCCAAATTGACACAATTATGTAGCATTAACATGCTGTTTAAACACAGTATGCTTTATCTTATGTCATGTTTTCCCACTCCTTTTGAAAATGTTTTTAGTTCTTTGTCCATGCTATCTGAAATAGAAATTTATATGAAGTGTGCTGATGAGCTCTGTTTTGGGCAATATAAGAAAATAATCTTTATTAAAAGAGTTTTCAAGATCATTTATCTTTGATGAAATGAAATCACGGTATAAACTTTTTGGACAGATCAAAAATTGTACAGATCATAAGGTTTTTTTTTTTTTTTTTAAACACTGCATAACTCCACTACTACACATACCATTCTTACAAGAGATCGTTAGCATTTAGATAAAACCTATAGCTAACACAATTAACTTGTTCATTCTTGAATTTTGAACAAGAACTTGATTCATTCTTGAACAAGAACTTGATTTATTGATATGGTAGTCTCCATTCCTAACAATCTATAATCAAACTAACAGCAAATTAAAAAATTAGTCTTTTTACATCTCTAGCATTACAACGGGAGAAATAAAAGTTAAGTGATTTGTTTCAAGTCCTATGGTGGAACAGTAGGAGATAGGCAACTAGTAACCAAGTCCAAGATCCTAAAAATAAATCTTTGGTGCTTCATAATTTATTTAATTTGGCTTGTATTAGCCCAGGCTTGACATATAACTAATGCAGCTAACATAGACTGGAACCGTATAGAGATTAAGCCTTATGCCAATCTGCAAGAAACCACGGAAGCAACATCACAGTTGTTAACACCATACATAAAACAAAAACTTCGTAATTTTTTCCTACATACTCTCACCAGACATATTTCTTGTGCGCCTGTTCTTCTTCTTCCCAAACAGATGACCACTCGGTTTTTAAATAAATTACTTTATCATTTTGATTAGCAGCGTCCCAAGTAGAGACAGTTGAAGAGTAACTGGGAGAACAAGGGCAATTTGTCTGACTCTTCACTAAGACAACAACTCCTTTTACTGACGAAGTTAAGACCTGTTAAGTATAATTACAATACTGTTTCCTCTGACAAAGTTTATACAATCCTTCATAAAAGAATTCTACAGATGTTTTAACATATGAAATCTATTAGGTGCACTAGAGTTACTGCGTGCACTATTAATATTGTAGAGTAGCATACCAAAGCTTCAACTTTGCAACAAAAATCCACTGTGATAGACATGTCACAAAGCAGAAAAAGATGCTAATTGAAACATTCTCACTTTTAAGTATGCAAATGACTCTTTAGCCCAAATGGTTCCATGTTCTGTAAGTTTTCCTTGGTAAGAAAATGTAACCAGAAATATTAAGGTTTACCTCATCTTACATTTATATTTTGGTAAACAGTAAGATACAAAATTGTTCCAGACTCTAGACTGCTAGAATCTAGACTCCTGTTTATCAAAATCATATGCAAAGTTCAAATGGTTCTGCAAAACTAATTCTAACCAAAATAGATGATTCACTAACCTGCTCTGAGTTAAGTTGTGAAGAACCATCTTGAAATACCATAGTAATTACCAAAGCCACTGCCTGTTCTATAGTCGCAAGCAATTCTCTTTTTCCCTCATATCCCAAACTTCTGATGTCACAGGGACAATTTTCAGATGATTCTGCTTGTCCAGAAGTACAGTTATATCTTCCTTCATGTAAAGGACTACACTCCTTCACAGGTAATTTTCTTGTTTTCTCTGAACAATATGTACACGCATCCTGCTTTCTTTTAAGGGAAGGAGCTACATTCTTTTCACCATCCTTCAGTTTTTTTGCTTCTGCTGAAAGGTTTCTTTCTCTACGTACCCATTTTGGCAAGTCGAAATCCTGGTAACTTACAAAAGCACTCAAAGCACACAGTGGCAGTGGAGAGCCCATTTTGGTTTCTCGACTGCAAAACATTTTGTTTGCGTGCACTGTCCTGACTCTTTGATGAGTGGTACTTTTTTCAGGGCTAGCAGTTGTGTTTAATAACACCATTGCAGAATCATGAATCTCCTGGAAAAAATGGAAGTTTTCCAGTGAATCAGTTATTCAACTTATTAGGAACCACAAAAATAAACATATATGAGTTAATTTGGAAAAGCTTTTCAGGAAGTGACGTTCTATGAAAAAAATGTTATTGAACTATCAAATCAAAGAGTTAGTTTGGGAGGGGAATATATTACACAATACAAAATTCTAACATACATCAACAAAGGTGAAGTGGTTGATTTATATTGCTTGCATTCAAAATCACCAGGTTTTTTTTGTTAATCGATAGTGCAATACTGACATCATCAAATTAACAAACACAAGACCTATCTAGTCTAGTTGTCTGTTTCCTAAAGCGACTAGGACACTAGTGACCTCTGTCTGAAGAGAGGTGACCATTCATTCCCATCTTTAGCTTCAGTGTTCAGAGCTTTTTTCATGACAACTTAGTTTCTTAAAGAACTTCTGCTTTGGAAAGACTGCTTTGGACAAAGACTGCTTTGGACAAAGACTGCTTTGGACAAAGACTGCTTTGGAAATTCAAGTACACTGTGTCAACTGGATCTCTGCTGACTTCTTCAAAAGACTACAGAGTGCAAGACATAACTAAATATACACAAAAGGAGAAATATTATCAGGTATGTGGATAAATAATCTATTCCATTCTGTTTAAAGCAATGGGCCCCAGAACAGATGTCAAGCTGACTGATCTTTCGTACTCCAGACATCCCCAGATTTCTTTTTAGCAACATATTTTCTTCTCTTGTGCTACGGAACAGCATTAAGCAAGAAACTACATGCTAGTGTTACAATTCTGTGTCTTTATCCTCGATTTCCTTTAGAAATTTCCTTGATATAAAATTGGCCCTTCTAATTTCTTAGTGTTTATTTTGCTGGTTTCTTCTACACCCACTTCAGCCAGGGCAGATCCTTTGTCTTGAATTCCATAAACAGGGACTCTGGAATGGCTACCTTGCCGTTTTTTCCTCAAGGAAAATGTATGTTCAGTGATTTACAGATATATACAGCTGTATCTTCCCTAAAGAATCCTTTTATGCCTTGATCATCTACAGGCCTTAGAGGTGCTGGCAAGCTTTCTACTCCTGACACATTTGGGGAGGGAGATGTATTATTAGTTACGGCTTTTCCAAACTGCTCCTCAAAGTTTATTTGGACTGTACTGTTGTGGTTTTACATTTAACTTACTCAAAGGAGGCAACTAAAAAAAAACACATTCCGGTGAGTTCAGCTTTTTGCATGACAATATTTCTTACAGTTGTCTCCATTTTGTTGCTTACCACAGCTTTCCCTCTCCCGCCTCAGGCGGGTACTATGCATTTGTCCTAAGCCTCCAACATTCTGTTTTGAATAAACCCCTGCACTACCTACAAATGTTTTGCTTGGGGTAGGGAGAGAATTCCCTATCTTTTCTTTTAAAAGCTTTTTCATTTTTATTTTCCTTTTTTGAAATTAAGCACTTCTGTAGTCAATTATCCACCTTTTAATGACCCTGAAATATTACAATCCCCATCAGAGCAGGAAGATTTTGATTCTGATTTGCATAGAATCAAAAATGACTTCTCTTGTGAGTTCCCTAACTATTTCACAAAGCAGTGAAGTCCCCTAATTTTTAGTCTCAGCATCATGCTTAAGCATAACATTCCCTGTGATCTTACAATCACAGCCTAAGTGAGGGCTGCCCCAGTTACTCGTTCCCGTTCTTGCATTGGCTCTTGCACGCCCGTTAAACCAAGCTGAGGGACATGATTCAACAAAAAACAAACTTTGTGCTATGAAACCAGTTTTCAAGTGAATCAGCTCTCTGAATTATCTCACTTTGTGATTATATAGCAACTGCTACCACTCTAAGGAAGGAACTTGGACTTTGGAGCTACAAAAGTGCTGCTGCAAAACTACAGCTTAAAAAGCTTCATCTTACAAAAAACATACTTATACTTTGATTAGAACAACACTGTTAATTAAGAGGAAAAAAACAGATAACACCTATAGAACAGAAAAAGTGACGTGCCAATTAGCAACTCTGGAAAAGACAAAATAGTGCTGCTAACATCTGTGGAACACAGTATAGCCACCGAGAAAACCGCAGTCTCTCTCTTCGATCCATAATTTTGCTAGTATCAGTGAAGAAACATGCAATTTGTTTCCCAGAACAAGATTTTTGTTTAAGATATACTGTACGTGTTCCTTAAGCTTATTTTGTAGGAAAGTATTCTCCTTTTGTTAATGAAGGACAAAAACAGTGATTTCCTGTATGGTCATATCCCGTTAGTAAAATAACGTGTTAGCTTCATTTATGCAGTTTCTATCAGGGCATTTAATATACTAAACGTACTGATTTAGAAAAAGTTATGCAAAGGCCACAGAATCTGATCACTGCAGTAGACCACATGGGCATCATATGGGCCATACTGGTTACGGACGATGCTAGATGACAGCTCACAAAACATAAGTCACTTCCTTGTTACTGTGAAAAGAAGCCTGTTACATTTCAGAGAAATTTTTTTTGGAGTGTCAGTGATATTTCAGTGACAGAGGTTTAAGAACATGTTTAAACCCTGATAACTATCTAAATGTGGTTACCTCATTTATTTCTGATCAATCGGTCAAGACAGACTAACTTCGTATAAAAAAGGACAACAGAAGTGTGGACAAGACTCTCACAAGTATGCAGAGGCCAAGCACAAGGTAAGACAACAGAGAAGTTTTCATCTGAACCATGAATATATCACTATGCATAGTGATATATCTTGTTAGAAAAGAGCTAAGCCTTCTATACAACCAGTTTTAGTGATTTCTTCAATCTTCCAGTATGCTTGCCTTTTCATTTTCCAGATGGGCATCATTATCACCTAGCTTATTTTCCTTTGTCTTCTCTATACCTTTAAAAAAGAATGGAAAACATTTTACAATGTAGGTGGAAGGTGAGGCAATGCGCACAATTCAGGTTACACAGAAGTGTAAATAATGTAACATTGTACCAACCAGAAAATATTTGCCATTAGGTTTTCCATGGCAACTGTTTTCCTCAAATTAATACCATTTATGCTTAAAATGGCCCTTCAGGTTCCTAAATATGCACATGCAAAAAATGTGCTCTCTCCCCATTAAGAAAAAAAAAAAAAACTTTGTTACAAAGCAGACAGACATTATTTTCACAGCATTCAGAAGGGGCATCACCATAATAGTGTAAGTACACTTCCAAGAAAACACAGCCCACTTTGGTCAAAGTAAAAGCTGGGTGTGGAAGGGAGAAAAAACCCACACGCTTCACACAGTTTAACTGCTTTCTTCAAATTAGGTAAATTTTCTTCTCCAAAATTTTCTTCGGTACAATACTTTATTTGCACACACATCTTTGCCATACCATGCCATAAAGAGCTGAGCATGTGCCATCTTGAGAGGACAGGCTTTTCACTTTGTCTATCCTGGCAAGAACAGGTTATCATGAGGCCAGACAAGAACCGAGAACAAGCAGGATTCAGCCATATCAAAATTACAGAAAGCTAATGAAATAAGACAACAAGAAACCAGATGGCTATGGCTATCAGTGCTAAGCCTGAGATAAAGTCCCAGCCCCAGAAGATCTGTTAGCTTGGGCACAGCACTGAACCACCTGAGATGCACAGTCTCCAGTTCTGAAAGCAGCCTGACGTAGCAGTTTCAGGAAGGCTTTGTAAAAGCATCTCAGGACTCTACAACACGCACAAGAAAATGGCTATGAGGTGCCTTCTCTCTTCTGCCATCAACACTTCCAAGCAGCCTCAAGCAGCAAGTAAAGGCTGGAATAAAAGAACAAAGGGTAACAGTGTGGCAGTAATTAGAAACTCAGCAGACAGAAGAGGAAGAACAGGGAAAAGCAGAACCCTCCTGAGGTGCATGCCTCTCCAGAATTTGGAATTAGTTAGAATTCCTTTATCTCCGTATTCTTTTCTTGTGCAGGCAAAAAGAAATCTCACTGGCAAAACATGTATTTTTTCCCCTTCTAATTCCAGGTCCATACAAAATACAATATTCCACTGCTGCTTTCAGCTACAAAATTTGCATTACCAGCAGCGAGTCATATTGTAAAAAAAACGTGCTGATGACCAACATCAAACAAAGCGTAAGGGACTTTATTCCCATTTACTGAATTTAGTTTGCAAGTTTTGACAAGGCAAATCAAGACCCTGTACTTAAAAAACTGAAGAAGATTTTAAAAGACTAATTAGTTTAGTCTCCTGAAGAAACTAGGATTACGACTTCATAATATTATAGATAACTGGCTATACACATACACCAACATGAACCTATTAGTAACAGTCATCAGCTCAGACCTCTAACCTGAGCTTTAAAAATAGCAGATAGTGTAGCTGTATCTGTAGCTTCAAATATTTTAGATTCTTCTCTTGATAAGACATTTAACAATTTACTGTATAAAGTATACTGTATACTAACTCAATTTACATTCAGTGTTTTTAGTTTCGTCGTATCTAGATATTTTTTCTTGACAAATTCAGCTTAGAGAAGATAAGGATCACATTTATCTCCGTCAGTACACAGTATTCAATATGACATATATTTAAATACTTAAGCAACCTCCAACTTTTGATTTATGAAGAAGTATCACCAGGTGGCAGTAGAAACCCATTCTTGCCTTCAGCCTCATTTTTAAGGCTGGATGTGACCATTATAAGCACTACTGCCCAGATAACCACAGAATTTCATCTGCTACTACGTCACAGACATTTGTCCTATTTGAACACCATACTTATCTTTTAAAGATAATCAGTTTTTTTTCTAGTAAGCAGAATTTAATCTTTAAGGAGTTTGTCAATAAAATGCAGCTCAATAGTCTGAAACAGACCGACTTTTATTTATTTTATTTTTTTTTTTTAAAAAGGAAGGACAAAATTCTTCTCTCCACATCCACTCCTCAATCAGCTATAGCTACATATACAGGGAAATTCCTAAAAGCAATTCAATTAAACATTTGTTCTTAAGCCCGTATGCCAGAAAACAATCGTAAGTAATTACTAAATGGAAAACAAGAACAAAAAAAAGCTAGTCACGTGACATGCTGCAACACTAAATGCTTACATTGTTCTTTCACTCCCCAGTAAATAAGGATTTAGGAGAACCACAAAGAAGATAGCAAACCCATTTGGCTAAAGATAGCAGATACCTTCATGGTACTGAAAAAAAATTCTCTAATTTTTACAGCTTGACAAAGAGTTAGAGCAAGAGCAGACAATATAACTCTACACAGACACCACACAGTAGAGAGAGTTCATAGCTGCAAAACAGAAAACACTGAACAGGAAAATTAGGGAGGGGAAATCAACTAGGTTGCAAGAGAAGTAAAAAACAATTAAGCTGAGGCAGAACAGAGGTCTGATTTTCTGTAAAATAACCTCAATTTTTTGATCCGAATGTATCATTTCTACATAAAAATGTATCGTCAAATGGGTATCACTGATTTACAAAGCAAGCAACTACTACCTTCTCACTGCTCAGGTGAGCAGGTTCCACTGATCTAATTCCCTGCTATTGAAAGACTACCTAAACTGTTATTTATGTAAAATTAAGGCTTCAGTGAACACCGTGCACACAAGAACAAATGCTAGACTTAGGTTCAGCTGACCAAAAAATGTTCTAGAATATAGTTGAAAACAGACTACCGAAATTAAGCAAAAAAATCTAACTTTCATTATCTGCTTCTTTGCAGGGCTCCCAAACTGGCCGACAAATACACACAATTGAGATTTAAAACTTCACCTTGCAAGGCCTTCCTAGCATACATTACATTCCAAGTAAGATGTTGGGCTTTGCTCAAAGACCTGCTTAGGCACTTTAACATCACCTGATTTGCTCTACCACTGGGACTTTTGTTAGCTCTTCCTTCTACAATTTCACAGGGAGCTCTAGGTTATGCTTTGCTAATATATATGTATCTGCTCTTTAACTAAATGCAAGTCTAGAGAGTGTAAAGGCATTCTTGCAAGTTCCCAGCTTCTCTAGTGATCTTTAAATATTCAGTCCTGATTACAGTTAACACATACATTTAACTTAATAGTTAAGTCACAGTTTGAACTTGTCATCTAATTTTATTGCCTCTAACAAGAAAAGGTTAGCAAGAAAGTAACACTGAAATTGAGGCATACTGGCCGTATGCTAGGTGCTTGTGCTGACATAGCATTATTAATCAGAAAAGTCCCAGCATACTTCTCAAACAATTACAGCTTAATTCATTTTCTATACCTGTGAACCTAGACAGTCAATTTTTAATAGGGACTAGAGATTTGGTTTTGTTTATTTTAAATACAGTCAGGTATTGACTGGAACCCCACAGAAGAATTTCAGTAACGTTTAAAATGTTCATAATCAAAAGAATATCTATAAATAGGCTGCTTAAAGCAGAGAAGCTTATACAAAACCTCGAGTTTAAACCCATATGTGTGGATTTTCAGAACAAAAGATCAAAAATCCTCAGAAAGTTAGAAAACTATGATTACTGGTTAGCTAGTATTTCTTAATACATCTACAGAGTGAATTAAATCAGCTTGCTAAGGGAAGGTCCACTAAAAATATCAGAGTGCATAAAAAGATGTTTCAAATTGTTTGGAATCATTGCAGCTAAAACTAGCATTTAGTAGACGCAGTCTAATCTTAGGAAATTAAAGTACCCTGGAATCATCTCTATTTCAATTTACCATCCATGACCAAACGTGCATTCAAGGCATACAAATGGAAGTAATACTGCCAGAGGCTTAAAGGCCAAGTTGCAGGGTGGGGGAAGATGGGGGAAGGAATGAACACCTTGAGGAGGGTTAGAGAAGCTCATTAAATCTGGATACAAAACAACTTTGTTAAAACAATTCACCACACAGTGATTGTCTCTAAGTTTGGATTCCTTTGGAATCATTTTCTGTTTTTTTCAACTGAAAATATACACGTTTAAACAGACTAAGGTTTACTCACTCCGGTCATTTTTTCTGCTAGCCTGAGCTTCTTCTACAGGAATAGACTGCAAAGCTGACATAATCCTCTGAGCGATATCAGATAAAGGCACTTTAGAAACCTCACATCCTACAGATGATGTGTAATGCTCCATTCTTTAATGCTCTAAACCTAAACACAATACACACATGAATTGGGCAAAATATTAGGGGCACAAAACATAGTCAGCACTTACATAAGAATTAATAATAATTTATATCTGAAATACATCCCCCTCCCCACAATGTCTTTAAACAAGCCTATTTCCAGTGTATACATATGTATACTATTGTCATTGGTTTGTGCTCCAGTGTCAGGCTATAAAAACATTGCTCAGGTTTTAAGGAAAGAAAAAAAAAAAAACAACCCTTCAGGAAATAACTGCAAAAAATATCATCCTCACAAGATGAAACGGAGAAGGGTTACTATCGTGATTTCAAAGATAAGTACTTTTTCCCCAGAAAACACATCACTAATCAAAAAAAAAAGACCTCTATTCCTTAAATTTTGTATCATTGAAATAATCAAGTACTATTAATTTAAAAATATTAAAGTAGTTGTTATAGTTCATTTGTCAATTTAAGAAATAGCTCCACAACACTTAAGTCTTTGCAATTTTTCCACTACAGTTAATATTGTCCTGAATTTTATCCTTTTTTAATAAGTTACTTTTCCAGTTGACCTGTAGCCATATTCTATAATGCTTGCATACAGAATAACTGGATAGCCCCTAGATACAAGATATTGGGGAGAATTAAAGATGTCCGTACAGACGACTGTTGACCTTATCTAGCTAGATCAGAACAACGCATAAGAGAACCACATAACATTTTAAAAATCCTTACAGGGTTCAAGCTGTACACAGGTGAAGTGCTCTACCAACAGTTGTTAAGTAAATTATTCCTACACAGGGCTGTAGTTATTCACCTATTACTCTGAGCTTCTCTCACTAAACTCAGTGCATAAATACACTGTCAAGTTCAACCATCAAGCAGATAACATATTTCCCTGTGAACAAAAGAAATATTTCTTAGCCCCGGACCACAGGCAGATTGCAAGCTCGAATATTTACACATAGACACTTGTATCTGAATTCAAACAGGTATATCTATAAAACTGCATTAGTATTGGTTAGTGTAAGTCACGCTCAAAGAGGTCAAAATTGTCTGTTTGGACCTATATACGTAAGATCTGTCCCAAAGCTTTCCATAATAGTCCTAATTTACAAGTCGATTATCAGTCGGAGACTTGGTGTTACAGAAGCTGAAAAGCATCTTGAAATTCTTGTTAGTGACTAACGTTAACTAGAAACTAGTCTCAGATAGGGGAAAATCCCAAGACTAGCATTCAGCTAGGCCTTTAATTAATAGCACAGCACTTAAGAACCCTGAACAAAGTAAAATAGGGAGGTATCCTTGAAGTTGTAGTACGCTTGTGGTCATAACCCTTGCAGAGAAAGCGTTCTGATACTGCATGATGCAAAGTCACGAGGAACTGACTTTCATGGAAACTGTTCAAGGAAATAGTGAAAATATACAGATTTGTTGAACGAAACACTGAACTGTAGGGTGCAAGCTGGTTTGTTGTTTGACGGTAACCCTGCGAATGCGTAAAGGGGAGAGAACGGCTTTCCTTTCCTGGACGTTACAAGAGTCAGAAGTATAATCTTCCCCAGGCCCACCTTTTCTTAACTCTAATTATAATAAAACAGCAACATTTCTGTCCTGTACAGAGTAAAAATGCTCCCTGACTTTTCCAAGACAGGAAGCACCAGTCTCCAAATTCAGGGAACATATCAAAATCTGAACCTAGTAGACTAAACATAAAACAGACAACATGCATCAGAATACATATCAAACCAACACACAGATTTGCTGGAAATAGTGACAACATTGATCTTAAATTGTAGTATTTAACATTTAATAATAAACATGATGTATAGAATTAAACATCACAAAATCCAAGCAGTAAGTTAAAGAAATGCATTATTTAAAAATAAGTTATATAAAAGTTAAAAGTCTGCAGTCAAAATAGAAAGTTAGTGTTACTGAAGATAAAGCTAATACTAATTTACTGCCAGTTATCCATGTCTAACGTTTGAAACCAAACACAGCTGATCCCAACGTACAAAAGATTGAAAATTATCATACTACAAAAGTACATTTAATCCCATTGCTGTATTGGGATACAAGAGTTTGATAGACAGTCTAGCGCCAGTGAAAGCAGAAGTCCAAAAGCGCTGAGATTCTAACATTTAAAAGCACATCATTATAAACTACAGAGCACATTCCAAATTTGCTGCAACAAAAGATCCTCAAAAGGCCCTAAGTCCAAAAAGGAAATTCAAATTTCTTTTTCTTTGAAGAATCTGGTAGGAGTACGGACTGGTTTCAGCAGAGAACACAGATCATAAGTTAAAGAAGAAGATATAAGAACAATCTTAAAAACAGTCTTAAAACAGATGGTCCTGGTACATAAAACAGATTCTGGTACACATTCCGACACATTTCTAGATGAAAACAAAACAACCAAAAAACCTGTCGTCTTAGACGAACTTTAAGGGAAGCAATCACAAAATGTTTGCCTTGGAGAACTTTCTTCTTTGAAAGACGCACAGTACATTCACGTTCAAAAATCCAGAACGCCTTCTCCACATTTACTTTTCAGAGTGTATACGAAAAGGCCCTTAGCATGCACAAAGACGTATCTCAAGGGCATGAAACCTTGTTTTGCGCCCTGCTGTACATAATGGTAATCAACATACAGGCTAGCAGAAGAGCAGTCTGTTATGTAATTCATTAAGTACCCAGTGTATTTTTTCATACCAAAGAAAACTTTGTCAAAATGGAAACGTGAACAAGCAGATGCCAAAAGCCATAAAGCAGCATATAATCCAAACTTGATAACTGCAGCAGCTAAACATACGTTGCAATGATGGATATATGTTAGCTTTGATAAGCTAATACTTATTTTTCCGTAACTTGAAGACGGTTAACATCAACATGTTTTCATATCTTAACACTACGCTGGAGTTTAAATATCAAGAACTTCACTGGCAGCAAGACTTTCATCTTCTACATCACTGGTTTTAGCCTTAGACTGCTGCTCAAGCTTCTCCACCATCTCTTTCAAGTGGTCTTCATCTTTGAAAAAATACACATACAAGTTTCTTTCCATCTGATGCAGCTTATTAGATTCTAAAAAGTTTCTCTTTGCCTTTACATCAGCAAGAAGATCCATAATGAGCTGATTTAATTCATTTAAGTGAACGTCCATTTGATGAAACTGCTCAGTAAGTTCCTAACAGAAATACAAGAAAAAGTTTATTACCTTAGCACTGTTAATTCAAATACAAAAGCTTTTGCTTTTGGAAGCCACTTCCTTTGAGAAGTGATTTCTATGAAAACAATTCCTCAGAAACAACAGAAATACAGGATATAAAGGGTTCTTTTCACTTCGTGCAACTTTAGAGGTACATGTAAGCATACTCACATCATGTTATAAGAACTTAATTTCATTTATTTGTCTAGTAAAACAGATGAGTTAAGACCATGAGAATCTGGCTGTCTACTAGATAAAGATGGTTGAATGACATTTTTATTCAAGTATTTATAGTTAGTCCTTAAAGAAGGAATAAAAGAAATTCAAATTTAAAATGAAACCTCTAATTAGCAGCTAGAATTTTCCCATTATTCTTATGATAATTCAGTGTGGGTAGGCTAGTCATCTACTTGCATATTATCTCCTAATTAGAAGAAATAAACTACTTTTCCTGAGAAACAGTATCAATGGAAAGAGATGTTGCTATGTTTTAAGAGGTAACAGTACTTTAGGTAATAAGATGTCATCTGATAGATTTAATAACCTGTAATCCCTAAATAGGTATTATCCTAAATACAAAGTTTCATTTTTCAATAAAAACTGTTCTATATGTTGCAAATTCAGTTGATAAATGGAAGTGTTTAATATATTTTTATGTACTTAACTAAGGAAGTATTACCTAGGAAGGTAATTACCTAGGTAGCCTTCTCACAATCCACTTTTGAGATATTTATTATTTACTTAGAAACTGTAACAAGTTGCACTTAAAAATCCCTATCCTCTCTTAAAAGATGTTCTAAAGGGAACATCTAGGAGTTCTGTAGTTAGATTTTCCACTTCAAAATTCTGATACCCTTATTCTGTCTACAAGGAGCCTCTCAAGGCCAGGCTTTTTAAGGGCCACACCATATTATATAGATATTACAGAATTCAGGGGGGTGGGGTGGGGGGGGCCTCTCAGAGATAGAAAGAATCTTAAACAAATTTTATAGCGACCATATTAGTTTGAAGACATACTTCCCATACACTTATTAATAATACATGACTGCATATGCTTTTGAAAGGAAGTGAAAATTAGATGCAACTATTTTCTAAGAATCAAAAAGTTATCTGCCAACATAAATCAAATCCCACATTTGCAGTGTGCTAAGAACAACGTAACTACTGAGCCCGTTATCGTTACTGCAATAAACTTGTTAGCTGACATGCAGTAACCAGTCTGACTACAAGCTTCATGCTATATTCATCTCAGTAAAAGGACATGCACGAACATAATTTCAGAAGCCGCTGCATAAGGACTTACCTGACTACTAAGTAATATTTGATTTCCTCCACAATACAGAGTATCACAAAGGGTATCTATATCACTGTCTAACTTGGACAAAAAGAGAGACTGTTCTTGGGAAGACGCTGCTAGCTGATCTTGTACTGTAGCACAGTCCTGCTTTAACTTCTGAGCCATCTGCTCAAGGCTTTCGTATGTTTTAAACAACTGTTGTTTCTTATTTTCTCCTTCCAGAAGCTGGTATAGTCTGTAACAAATAAAGTTAGACGTATAAGCATTAAGTTTCCTATGCATTCCAGACATTATTTGATTAGTCAAGAGGAAGCTTTTTCATGCTCACTGAGGAGTAAGACTGAGGACTAGTATAGGACAGTATCGCTCAGGTACTCTTACTAAAATGCTCTGTCTCCCATGGATTTCATGATTCTATCTATACGTAGCTAGTGCATAGTTAAATATGAGTCCAAAGTATTTCAATATTAAAATAAAGTAATAGAAATAAACTCTTGGTTTGAAATGTCATAAGTACACATCACATGTCAAAGGAGGTTGACAAAGTGCACTTTTACAATCTATTTCCCTATATTTAAAGGGCAGGAAAATAGGACCCCATTTTCTTAAGTGTTGAAAAACAACAGACTTCAATGGCCAATGAAAAATAAGGGAAGTCTCTATGACATTTTCATGTTTACTGGACTAATTCCCATTTTCTATCTATGGAGAGACTGCTATGAAATTCTCCAAGAAGTTATGAGTCATGCAAAAGACAGCAATACTTGCTATAGCAAACTGTATTCTTAACCACATCAGGAAGAGTCCAATACGATTACTCAAAGCTTCTGAGTTGTTACTACCACCTCTGCACATTAAAATCATCATGAGCTGTACCCCAATAAGGCATCAGATGGGCTTTAATAAGAGCAGGAGTAATATTTCAAAAGTAACTGAGTTTCTTACAAGTATCTCTTGCTTACAAACCCTTCAGGGCTTATAATTTTTTCAGCTTCTCTTCGTAATCACGAACACTAAGGCTAGCCTTTAAAAGGCAGCCAGATAGCGTTCTGATTCAATGATTTGGAGATTTAATAATAAACTTGAACAAAAACATTGTCAACATGTCATTGGCACAATGGGAGCAAAATTAACGCTACCTAATTCTGGCATTCCTTCACCGCTCAAGACTGTATCCAACCATCACTTAATGTAGCTTAATGTAAAACACTTAAAGCAGCTTTTTAACGATGGGGAAAAGGTCTGACATTAAAACACCTATAATTATACAACATGCCTCACGCTTCAGAGTCTGGAGGTGACAGCAAGACAGCACATGCTCCTCCTGTATCACCTGAGCTACAAGGAAACTTAATTAGTCGGTAAAACAACATGGGTGACAAGACTCAGAAGGCAGATGGCAAATCAAGAAGCAGTAACAATGAATTAAACACATTTCATACGTTCCAGGATTTGTTCCTCTCCTCGTGTTTGTCCTCCCCCAACACTGGGGGTTTTGCAAGCTAAGCTGATGATATGTATACAGTCTAGGAATTCACTGTATTAACAGCTCTCTACATCTACGCTTCTAGAATAATTTTCAAGAGGTCCTAGAGCAGCATGTGAGAAAGGTTTGGCTTCGGACATTCATTTTATTCTGGACATCGCGTAGAAAAGCTTCAGCAACATTAACAAGATGGAAACTTGAACAGCTTTTCTTCAGGCAAGCCTGAAAAGAACTTTTCAAAGGATACCCAAGAGGCAAGTCTCATGTCTCCAAGGCTTCAGTCCTGGGAACTTTCAATACTCGCTATAGCTAATTAGAGCTTCTCAGTAACTAAGAACCAAACAACCTAACAGCTTAACCTTAGATTACCTAAGCTTTTATCACCCCAATATTAGTTTAAAGTAAATCAAAGTTCAGCAATGACCATAACACTTACCCACGAGAAAAATCATCCTTTGAATCAATAGTGTTCCTTGGCCTTGCACGTTGAGCTAGCTCAGACATTATCTGCAGTCTCTGTTCCAACTCATTGCTGCTCCGTTTCAGATACTCTACCAAATTTTCAAGTTGACAACGGATGTCTTTATGTTTCCTCAATTCAATTTCATAAGCTAGCTCAATAAGTTCAAATGATGCTTTCTGTCTTATCAAATGGTGGCATATTTCATCTTGTCTTGAAGCGTAGTAGTCCTGCCGAGCAATCTGACGATCAAAGTCTCCTTTCACCACGGGCACATTTAACAGTCGAGCATTCTCTTTCAAAAGGGAAGGCAGATCTTCATTGTTTATCTGAGCAATATGTTTTTTAATTGTTGAAATTTCATCATTTAAACTAGATATTCTTGTCTCGAGGTTTTGTTTTTCAATTCCCTGCGTAAAGCAAAATTTTTGTCAATTTCTTCACGGTTCCCTAACATTTTTGCTCACCTTTCTTCCTACCACTTCCCTAACATATTTTACTTCAGTTCAAGGAAGGATTATACGCTCATGGCACAAAATCACTGACAAGATACATAATGAAACGACAACCCCACAAGCAGCTCTGCAGTCCTTTACAACATATCACGAGGCAAATAGTCATTTAGAAGGCAGGTATCAGACAAAAGTATTTCAATAAATAGGAATTCCATTCTATTGCAGTGCTGGAAAACAGCTTATTGTGGAAAGAGCGAAGAACTGAATTTTGCTTAGGGCACATTTCAAGTATTCCTAACTAAGATCTCCTAAGCAAACATACGTATTTTTATATTCAGCTGCATGGACTCAACACTGCTATCAGAATATCTCTTTTTCAAATGTGTTTAATCAGGCCCTATAAGCTAGCCATTCATAAATGAAAAAACACAAACCGACATGATGCCACCGGTGAGACAGGCCATGACTGTGGCACAAGTTAATTTTCCTCCTTTTGTTAGGACTCCTTCACCTTCTTACATTCCACTAGTCATATTTGCCTGCCATTCACTTATTGAGAGATCTCTGGTGCTTCAACTACTCCATTGGTATGTAAAACACAGCACCATAATGCCACCGTATTACAAATATCTGAGTTTCAAAAGAGTCAGTGAAGTAAAACTTTTCAAGTTTATTCTATGCAAAATAAACAGAAACACACTTATCATATTAGCTGCCCAATACCCCCAAAATTTAACTAAAGTTAAACTTTTGTTTGTTGTAGAAACAACTGAGAAGGAGTAATAATTCAAAATTTCAAATTTCATAATTAATAATACCTTTAGAGTTTAGTTTAGTTTAGTTTTTTTAAGGTAATAATTAGAGAAGACAGAAACTGGTAAATATGGCAGAGCACATTTAATTGTGACCATAGAACCTGGAGGTATTTCACAAGGTGAGTTTTGTGAGCCTGACCAAAATTTTGACAAAGTACAGCTTTTAACAACGCTCAGTGGTTCTTTTTAACATGCCAGATCCCATTTAACATGCCTGCCTCTGTTTAAAATTCCACTATCTTATATCGTCTTTCACAGCTTACCTTGGTCTTTAAGGAATGCAGCATGTTCTCTGCACATTGTATAGCTGAATTCATACTCTCTTCTTTAGCTTTCATTTGAATCAGCTGATGCTGAGCACAAATATATGCTGTTTGCAGCCTAGCCATCTCATGACTTTCTTCACAAACTTCATTAGTTTCATCACAAGTCACTTGTTTGCTTATATCGCCAAGCTGAAAGTTTTCTTCATGTGAACTTTCAACTAATTCAGACATACCTTGAAAAAAATGTTTTTTTGTGTATGAAGTAAGGGCTGCAGTGCTTTGTTCTTCCTGAGACAAATACTTGTCCAAAGAAAGCTGGGAAAAAAACACTGGATGTGGACCTAATCCTTGTTCTGAATCTGAAGCAGTGAAGAAAGAGGCCAGTTTCTTAACTCCATCAATAAGGGACAGCAGTTCATTATTAAGCTTATTATTTTCTGCAGTAAGCACTCCCAGGCCTTCTTTCACAGCTTTAAGTGCCTCCTCCTCTTTGCCCTTTAATGCCTGTAACATCTGGCTGTTTGTGGAAGACATCATTTGAAGCTTATTACATCGATGAACGTTAAGATTTTTCATCTTCTGAAGGGTTTGAAATTCATTCTCTAATTTCTTAAGTTCTTCCTCTTCTTCTTCCTCCCCCTGACTATTGTTCTTCGAATCCAAAGACTTACAGGTTTTAAGGACTTCATCCAGTGCACTTCCTTCCAAAATGGGCTTTCCTGATTCAATAAGATTATTAAAATCCTGCAGTTCTTTTTCAGATACCACATGCTGCTCATTTACATTTCCACAAAACCACTCCAGAAACGATTTATCTTCCACAGACTCAAACAGCCAGTCAAAATCTTCTCCATTAAGCTCCTCAGCTTTTGGATACCCAATTTTCTTAAGAGTTTCCACAAACTGATTTCCACAGCTCATGATTAAAATATTTTTGTACGCAGAAAAGATCCAAATATATGAAATATCAGGGATATTATTCCAGCAGTATTTTTTGTCTTTTTTAATGAGTGTTCAGTATTTTAATAAAAAACAGTCTGCACAGGAGAAAGCAAGTGTCAGATCACATCAGAAAACTGAATCTTATCCTGGTTTAGAATGGCTATTCAAAGTATAAGAGCCAGTTTCTGTTTCAGGGATGCCTTAATATATTTTGGTCATCAAATTAATTAATTAATTATCAATTCTAATATCAATTAAATCCCAGATCCTTGCAAACACTTATATTCTTAATTGACAAAAACTGTACTAATAAAAGAGGGTATCAACATTAATCGAAAGGAACATGGATAAATCTGGAGTAGGTCAGTGTCCTGCAGAAGTCATTTACTTGCACAGTTTCTCCCACATTAAACTAAAAAATAATCTTAAAACACCTCCAAAATAAGGGGAGGTCAGTCTATTCTAAAACCAAAGTCAAAACGACGTTACCTTGCACTTCAAGATCTTGCTTACAGACATTTATTTTTATTTAGCCAGTAGAATCTTGTCTTCCAAATCTCCATTTTAAAGTTTCCTCTGACAATGGACAAGAAGCCCTCTAATATGACATCAGAATGTAATAAGGCAGTTATTTATTAATCAACACACAAAAAAAAGTTGTGCACAAACGAGTATACTCTATTGTGAGAGGAATCATAATTAAAATGTTACAAGAAAAGGGAGCATTTCCCCTCAGCATGCAAAACATCAGCTTTGAGGTTTGGTAGGTGGGTGGGTGGGTTTTTTTTTTTTTTTGGAGAATCCTTAAATCGCACAATTGGTTTTATCTTGACCACTTATCTTAAAGAATGAGCAACAAAAGCAAAAGAATAGGACAACTTATCAAGAATTTCAGGAGGCTTTGCTTGCATTTTTAGGGGTGCAATATTCAGTTTTTTGTTTTCCGTTCTGTTTTTTTTTTTTTTTTAAAGAGTTTAGCCTTATTAAACACCTCGGTTCTAAGGCATATATTTCACCAGAAAAAAAAAAAAAATCACTTTGCCAACCGTCCAGGGAGACATAAAGGCTGAAAGGACAAACGCATTCTTCTGAAATTTGGTTTCTGTTTTTACTTGGCGTTATGAATTACACATAAAGAACAGCATTTGTTATTCAGGCATCATGTCCTAGTGCAGTCCCCTAAGTGCCCTCAGTCTTGCGTGCTATAAAAGGACCGTCTTCAAAGTAAAACAAACAAAGAAGGAACTCGCCTACTTGTAGGTTTATGCACACATATGCGAAAGGCAGGCAGACACAGCCGCTCAGGCCGCCATCAGACATCAAAGGCAACGCCTCAGGACCTCTGAAGAACCTCTAACCCGTGCTCGCAGTCCCCAGCACGGACTTAGCATGGCCTTAAGCAGCACCGGAAAGGGGGTCCTCAGGGACCCGTGCAGGCTTTTTCCCAGTGGCCATAAGCCCAAACGCCCGCTGAGCAGTCCCCAACTCCGGGACAGCCGCCGCCGCCCGCTGCCTACGCTCCCAAGGCGATGCCGGCTAAGAGCCGTCCCGGGGCAGGACGGCACGAAGAGGCGGAGGGCAGAAGGGATCCTGCTGCGGCCGTTCCCCTCCCGCTACGAGCAAGCCCCCCAC